GCCAAACAGCATCATAGGATCAGAAAGGAGCCTTTCTGCTCCTATGATGCTGCTTGGCCTGCTGTGTTCATCCAGCTCTGCACCTTGTTGTCTCAAACTATACAAGTGCTGGATAGGTTTGTCCCACTGAGGCAAGGAAGGGACGGTAAGGTGAAGGAACCTTGGATGACAAGACATGTGGAACATCTAGTCAAGAGGAAGAAGGAAGCTTACTTAAGGTTGAGGAAGCAAGGATCGGACAGGGCTCTCGAGGGTTAAAAGGTAGCCCGGAAGGAACTGAAGAATGACTTAGGAGAGCTAGAAGGGGACATGAAAATGCCTTGGAGGGCAGAATTAAGGAAAACCCCCAAGACGTTCTATACTTATGTGAGGAACAAGAGGATGGCCAAAGTGAGGGTAGGGCCGATCAGGGATAGTGGAGGGTGTGTGTGCCTGGAGTCGTAGGAGGTAAGGGAGGTCCTTAATATTTTGCTTCAGTATTCACCAGTGAGCGGGACCTTGTAGTTTGAGAGGACAGCATGAAACAGGCTGATATGCGAACAGGTTGATGTTAGGAAGGAGGATGTGCTAGAAATTTTGAAAAACATGAGAACGGATCAGTCCCCTAGGCCAGACGGGATATACTCAAGGTTATTACGGGAAGCTAGGGAAGAGACTGTTGCGCCTTTGGTGATATTCTTTGCGTCCTCCTATCCACTGGAGTAGTACCAGATGATTGGAGGGTGGCAAATGTTGTTCCCTTGTTCAGGAAAGGGAATAGGGATAATCCTGGGAATTACAGACCAGTCAGTCTTACTTCTGTGGTAGGCAAATTATTAGAGATGATTCTGAAAGATAGTATTTATGATTATTTGGAAAAGCACAGTTTGATTAGAAATAGTCAGCATGGCTTTGAGAGGAACAGGTCATGCTTCACAAGCCTTATTGAATTCTTTGAGGATGTGACAAAACACATTGATGAAGGTAGAGCAGTGGATGTGGTGTATATGGATTTCATCAAGGCATTTGATAAGGTTCCCCATGATAGGCTCATTCAGGAAGTAAGGAGGTATTGGAATTCAGGGAAATTTGGCTGTCTGGATACAGAATTGCCTGTCCAATAGAAGACAGAGAGTGGTAGTAGATGGAAAGTATTCAGCCTGGAGCTCAGTAACCAGTGGTGTTCTGCAGGGATCTGTTCTGGGACGTCTGCTCTTTGTGATCTTTATAAATGACTTGGATGAGGAAGTGGAGGGGTGGGTTAGTTAATTTGCCAAAGACATGAAGGTTGGTAGAGTTGTGGATAGTGTGGAGGGTGGGTGTAGGTTGCAAAAGGACATTGACAGGATGCAGAGCTAGGCAAAGAAGTGGCAGACAGAATTCAACCCAGAAAAGTGTGAAGTGATTCATTTTGGAAGGTTGAATTTGAATGCAGAATACAGGGTTAATGGCAGGATTCTTGGCAATGTGGAAGAACAGAGGGATCTTGGGATCCATGTCCATAGATCCCTCTGCTCCTCAAAGTTGCCACCTAAGCTGATAGGGTTGTTAAAAAAGCATATGGTATGTTGGCTTTCATTGGCATGGGGATTGAGTTTAAGAGCTGCAAGGTAATGCCGCAGCTCTATGAAACTCAGGTTAGACAACACTTGGAATATTGTGTTCAGTTCTGATCGCCTTATTATAGGAAGGATGTGGAAACTTTAGAGAGGGTGCAGAGGAGATATACCAGGATGCTGCCTGGACTGGAGGGCAGGTCTTATGAAGAAAGGTTGAGGGAGCTAGGACTTTTCTCATTGGAGCGAAGAAGGACAAGAGGTGGCTTGATCGAGCTGTACAAGATGATGAGAGGCAAAGATAGAGTGGATAGCCAGAGACTTTTTCCCAGGGCAGAAGTGACTATCACAAGGGGGCATAATTTTAAGGTGATTAGAGGAATGTATAGGCGAGATGTCAGAGGTAGGTTCTTTACACAGAGTGGTGGTAGTAGAGTCAGATACATTAGGGACTTTTAAGCGACTCTTGAATAGGCACATGGATGATAGTAAAATGAAGGGTATGCAGGTTACTTTGATCTTAGAGTAGGATAACAGGTCGGCACAACATCATGGGCCGAAAGGCCTGTACTGTGCTGTACTGTTCTATGCTGTACTGTTCTATGCTCTATACACCTTTTGTCAGTGCACAGTGCCGGCAGTGTGTGTCATCTACAAGATGTATTGAGCAATTCACCAAGATTTCTTCGACAGCACCTTTCAAACCTTTGACCTGTATCAACTAGCCAGACAATGGCAGATGGATGAACACCACCATCTGCGCGTTCTAGAACTATATTACTGCTCCTTAACTGTTGCATCAGAATCCTGGAACTCTCTCCTTGGTGTAGCCCCACAAAAAGGATAGCAGCAGTATTAGGCCCACATCCTGAGTGTTTTTGTTTCCTTAGTTATAAGGATAGTTTCTGCGTCCATATCACTAACAGGGACCCTCATTCACTGATAGAGCCTGAATTCCTGTGTGCACTATCTACCCATGATTTTTTAACTGCTATTGGTCAAAACATTGTGACTTGTGCATTGCTGTGTTACTGATGTATCCCTCTACTGAGTAAGATTCCCTGCTCATAGCATGGTTGAGCTTGGACAATTATTCTCTACAGCGCAAGCATAAATTGGACTAATTGTAGTTGATTTAAACATGCAATTCTAGTGTATGGTACAGAACTTGCAAATTTAGGGATACTGAACAGCATTTAGAATTATTGTAGTGAATGTTATTAAAGGTTGGTAGCCTTGCTAAAGATGAAGTAGTGTAGACTGCACACTCTAGAGATAAGCTGCTGGGAATGTTTGCAACAATATGCAATCTGCAAGGCTAACTTTTTTTTTCACTCATGGGACCCCTAGTTGCCCTTGAGAATATGGTGGTGAGCTGTCTTCTTGAACGCTACAGTCCTTGTGCTGAAGGTTGACCCACAATGCCCTTAGGGAGGAAATTCCAGGATTTTGACCCAGCGGCAGTGCAGGTACGGCAATATATTTCCAAGTCAGGATGGAGAGTGGCTTGGAGGGGAGCCTGTGGGTGATGGTGTTCCCATGTATCTACTGACCTTGCCCTTCTAGATGGAAGTGGCTATGGTTTTGGAAGATGCTGTCTAAGGATCTTTGGTGAATTTCTGCAGTGCATCTTGTAGCTGGTACACACTTCTGCTGAGTGAGAGTGGTGGAAGGAGTGGATTTTGTGGATGTGGTGCCAATCAAGCCACCTGATTTGTCCTTGATGATGGTGACTGTTGTTGGAGCTGCACCCACCCAAGCAATTGGGGAGTATTCCATCATAATCCTGACTTATACCTTGTAGATCGTGGACAAGCTTTGGGGAGTCAGGAGGTGAGTTACTAGCCACTGTTTCCAACAGAAAGTTGTGTCATTTATCTGGTGTACTAAACTGTAATAAATAAAAAAAAGGAAATCTATTCTACAGGTGCAAACATCTCTGGAAAAGCCAGCATTTGCATATTTAGGTTTAGAACCCGAATAACTGCTTGTTGCGAAAGTTTAAATATTTCTGTTGTGACTCAGCAATATTGCCTCAAAGTTAGGAATTCAAGAGACTTGGACAAAGTGTACAGAGGATCAAAGTGAAGTTTATAAAGACACAGACATGCAATCCTCTATTGCAACACTGGTGTATGCTATGCCAGGGTAATAGGAAACATATCTGATTTCATAATGCTGAAGCTTTTAAATGGATGGAAAACGAGGCTGCATCATAATAAGGGTAAAAACAATCAGTTAATGACATTTGTTATAATTTAGACCTCATTACATGGGGCAACTAATATTAACATGCACAACCATGAAGTGAACTATACTAAACAGCTAATCCCCACATTATTAATAAATACTATTAGCAGTTAACTCTATGGTGTGAGGTTACTGTTTGTTTATACTTATCACATTTATTAATTTTCTTTAAACATCCCTTCTAAAAGTGCATTATAATTAGATCACTTTAGACTTCACTGTGGAAAAGATAACAAGCATAATGTGCAAGCTAAGTAAAAATATAATTCATTAATACTGCACACCTTTAGCTACAGCACTGACATCTTCATAAAACCCTGCAATCAAGGCCACATGACCAGGTCTGGATTCAGTTGGAACCCGTGTGTGAGACACACCCCAGCTTCCATGGTGCACCACCACATTCCTGTAAGCACAAAAACAATTTACAAAATTGGGCATACAAGAAGGAAGTTATTCCAAATATGCAAGATGTCCGTTTGTAGTCAGTGTGTTCCTGGAGTCAAATGAACATAGCAATGAGAACCATACTAAACTGTTACTCATTACTGTAAACTCTTATCTTCTCCCTACCCGCAAAGCCAGAAAGTGACCACAAACACATACATATACACACCAAGAGAAGCATGTTAATTTTTCAAACTTCATCACCAAATGGCCACATACGCAGTTTGCTGTATGCGAACCTTTTGTCCCTGTAAGCTAAACATTTGCCAACAAAGCAACAGTATTTTTTGATTGCATATTCTAATCTATGAATAATCCCATGCTATTTCTATACAAAATTAAATCTGTTTCATATCTTCACAGGCAACAGAAAAAGGAGTGTTTATTTGTACCAATTAATGTTTCATTAAACTCAAATCACTATCTAACTTTGTTTTGTTTTTGTTTGTTATATTTATAATACTATGAAATAGTTAATTTCACTGCATGAAGTTGGAACTGCAGCAGTAAAACTAGAATTTATTGGATAATCTGCAGTGTGCATTTAAACACTGATGTTAATGCCAGATCATGTCTACACTGTTGTTTGAACATCGTGGTTCAATCCATCTAAAGAAAAACTGCATTTATAGATTTATAAAAAGACACACTCAGCTGAGTTGATGTTTCTTCTCCTTAAAAAGGGATGAGAACTTGATTGGGTAAATATTATATATATGGGAGAAAGTAATCAGTGGTATAAGCCATTGGTGTGAGAAGTGGGACACTTAGGCCACACTAAAGAATCAAAGGTCAGGGCAGAAGAGGGTCAATATGAGCTTAAAAGCACATAGTCATTATCTCTGATGGCTGTGGCTATTAGGAAAAAGACACGTACACACATTCTGAGCAAGTGTCACTGGACTCGAAATATTAACTCTGATTTTCCCTTCACATATACTGCCAGACCTGCTGAGCTTTTCCAGCAACTTCTGTCTTTGTTCCTGACTGGAAGCTCGACTGATCCAGGTTGGTCTTTTCTCCATACAAGTGTTTTCTCACCTCTCTTCAGCTCAGGATATCAGTATACCTGCTGTTCCCTTCAGCACCATGCTCTTAACTAGCTTCCACTTAAATGAATTGTTGCTATTGAGCTCAACCACTCCTTTTGAGAGAGAGTTCCACTTTCATAAGACTCTCTTGGATATAAAATTTCTCTTGAATTCCTATTCGACTTAGTAGTGCCTATACTTTCTTAATTTTCCCTCATAAAAGGAAACATCATCTTGATTTCTACCCCATCAAATACTTTGATAATCTTAAATAGTTTTCTTTGAAATACTTCATATGACCAGTCATACCGGAGGAATGGTGAACGTGTCTGTCCATTCTGATCCAGCTCAAAAAAGGCGTCTGCACGCAATCCATCAGCAACAAAAAGAACAAGACGTTTAGCTGGTGGTGGTAGTGATGTTCGATGAGGAGTCATTCCATGCACCAGGGGAGAAGTGAAATAAATGTCAAAAATGGAGGCAAAGAAGATGAGATGCACAAGCAAGCCAATCAGGAAGAACATCAGCATGTTTAGACATAAATCTGATCACTTCATTCCAGGAGGAACTGAAAATCAAACAGAAACATGGAATTATTTTTAGCAATTTACACACAGAGGGTGTATTTCTAACTGAGCTGAATCCTTTCCCTAGCTATGCCATATCAGCATGGTTTTATAATAGTTACATATTAAATTGTCCATTTTAATATGTACTGATATTCAGAAACCTCAATTCTTGTAAGCCTTTATGACATTACAGGTTTTTACAGCTAAACAATTTGAAAAATAATTTATATTATAATTGATTGGAAATGCATTTTAAAATGTTTTTAGCTTTCTTAAAATTTCATTCATGGGATAAGGCATCATTGCCCATCCCCAACTGCCATTCAGAACACGGCCCTAAGCTGCCTTCTTGAACTGTCCTTTAGATATAGAGTTACTGATACCACTATTAAGCAAGGAGTTTCAGGATTTTGACCCAATGACAGTGAAGGAACAACGATATAGCTCCAAGTCAGGACAGTTTGTGGTTTCAAGTGGAACTCGCAGGTGTAAGTGTTCCCATGTATCAGCTTGCCCTTCCAGGTGGCAAAGGTTGGAGGCTTGGAAAATGCTGTTGAATGCTTGGTGATTTGCTCTGGCATATATTACATAAAGTACACACTACTGCCATCATATCTGTCACGAAGGCAGTGAATGGTGAGGTGGTGGATGGGATGCTAGTCAAGCAGGCTGCTTTGTCCTGAATGGTGCTAAGCGTCTTGAGTGTTGTTGGAGCTGCAGCCATCCAGGGAAGTGGAGAGTATTCCATCACACTCCGGACTTGTGCTTTGTAAAATGGTGAACCAGCACTGGGCAGACACAGGTGAGTTACTCACCACAGAATTCCTCATGTCTGACTGTATAAATGTTTGAATAAAGTATAAGTTAATACAGCTAAAATTTATCATTTATTTCCAAGGCATTTGTTTTGTAGCACTGCAAAACCATTTCTCCATCTATTTCTACTACAGGGCATACTGAAAGTCTTAACTAAACCAAATATTCATTTTCTAGTACAGAACTTGAGTTTGCCGAAAAAAATATACTTTTTCACAAATTTTTGTCTTGTGCTAATCAAGAATAGCAACTCAAGATTTATACTGCATGGGAAGAGAATGCTGACTAGTTGGCTAGTAGATTCTGAATGGTAGGGGCGTTATTGTGGCAAATACACCCATGAATGCCGATTGACAGTTAACTGCCAAGCTTTGTTTAAATTTGAAACCAGGGCAATACCCACACCAACGGCAACCAGCATACCTTTCTTAAAATTTAAAGAAAGTCTGGCAGTTAACTGTAAGTCAGCATTAATGGGTATGTTCTCCATAGAACATTTTGACGGTTAATTCTCCAGGACTGAACACCACATTTTCCTTCTTGAAGGCAACTTGCTTCCATCTTGCTTAGCTCACCAACTTTCATTGAAATTCACTTCAATTTAAAGAGCAACATGTCAGTAATAAAATCATACTGGAATATTTTCATTGGAGAAATGGATGAGATTTCCAAATGTTAACATAGATGTGCTTCAACCTGTCACTGTCACCTTGTACATATCCATGAATCATGGTTACAGAATATATCAGGACAACTCAATATGTAATAAAGGAAAGGAAAAAATAATTGGTAGAAATTAGATGGAGACAATGCAAACTTGCATTCGCAAGTACTAAGGGGGAGAAGGTCTCCTCACCAAGATGAGGAGGACTTTGTTCAGACAGAGGGTGGTTAACCTGTGGAGCTCATTGCTGCAGAAGGCTATGGTGGTCCTATCTTGGTACTACTGAGACAGATGATAGTTTGTGATTTGGTATTGTGAAAATGCCAGCATCAATCTATAATTTACATGTTTAGATAAACAGCACTGATTGCAATTCAATTTATAAAGGCAAAGATGGACAAGTATTGTGATTACAAAAACAAGTCAATTGACCGAACTGGTTTGTGCCAGAATTTACACTGACATGGATGTCCTCCTACCCTACTAGCAGAACTACTTGATCCCAGCAAAATTCCTGCTCCTTTTGGGTTTATCCAGATTCAGTATAAATGCATTTATATAAAAGAGAGAAGTATTGCAGATAAGTCACCACAGTCCCAAAGGTTTATCCAGATTCTGCATAAATGCATCTATATAAAAGTACAGCAGATAAGTCACTGTAGTTCTAAAGAACTGCTCTCTCACTAGAGACATGACGGTGGTGCGTTTAACCCGAAGGTCACCATGACTTGTTCGAGGTTGTGAAGGCAGGATCTTCATGATCATCTCAGATGGCACAGAAATTGAACCAGTGCTGTTGGTGTCACTCTGCGATGCAAACCAGCCATCAAGCCAACTAGGCTAACCAATCCCCAGTAGTTGGGAGAAGCGTCATACTGGACTCAAAATATTTATTTGGTTTCTCTCGCCACAGATGCTGTCAGATCTGCAACGTTTCTACTGCCCTCCTGTCTTACTGCATCCATACTAAGTCACTTGACCCTCTCCATGTGGCAGCAAATTTCACATTCTTATCAGTTTATTGAAAAGAGTTTTCTCCTGAATCCCCTTGCAGCATAGGAACAGGAGTAACCCATTTATCCCTTGAATCTGTTCTGCTATTCAATAAGATCAAGGCTGATCTGTCATCTGTTGCCATATACCCTCTTTTGCCATCTTAATAAATATTCTTGGATAGCCATAATAACTTTCATTAATAACAATGTATCGGTCTCAGATTTAAAATTAACAATTGATCTGCTATCAGTTGCTATTTGCAGAACAGAATTCCAATCTTTTACAACCCTTGAATGAAAAAGCATTTTTGAAAAAACTGGCTCCAATTTTTTTTTACTACTGCCCTTTCATACTAGATTCCTCAATCAGCAGAAAGACAGAAAAAGTTTCACTTCATCTGACCTAGATGTTTACCGTAACATCTTGCACTAAATTAGCTCTGAACTTTTACAGCCCATCAAGTCCACACCAGACCTCCAAACAGCATCGCACTCAGACCCACACCCAACCCTCTCCCTGTAACCCTGCATTTCCCACGGCTAATCCACCTAACCTGCACATCTTTGGACTGTGGGAAGAAATCGGAGCACCCAGAGGAAGCCCACAGAGACACAAGCAAAATGTGCAAATTCCACACAGTCAGCTGAGGGTGGAATGGAACCTGGGTCCCTGTCGCTGTGCAGCAGCAGTGTTAACCACTGAGCCTACCATACAGCTACCTATAAAGCCTTGGTAGTCACTTTGTGTCCTCTTCACAACTTACTTTCCTAACTATCTTTGTATCATCACCTTTGGTCTCTTCATTCAAGTCATTGACATAACCTGTAAAAAGTCGAGGTGTCAGCAGTGATCCCTTTGGTACACCAATTATTACATCCTGAGATGGGGAGGTGGGAAAATCTTGAGGGCACTGGATAAATCCTTGGTGGGGGTGGGGGTGAAAGAAGTGGGTAAATCCGAGGGAGGGGGATTAATCCTCTGTGTGTATGGCGGGGGGGGAGGGGGTGGCGCAAATACATTGATCAGGAGCGCACTCGGTCAGACCCTCTCCAGCATCTGAACTAGAATCTAACTGATTTCCCCCTCCCCGCAATAAAATTATTTCAAAGTTAGATCCAGAAGCGCACATCTGCTTATTTCAAAGTAAGATACAACTCATTTCCATTCTTACCTGCCCGATTGAGCGCGTCAATACCTGGGAACAGGCCCATTGGGCACGGGGAAGCTACCAACATTGATTCAGTCAACACAGTGTACTGCGCTTGCGCGGCTGCTTACCGTTGCGACTTCTGACCTTCGGCATCGATGTCAAGTTTATCTCCTTCAACAGCTGCAATCAATTAATTATAAAAATAATAAAACTTCTGTTAGCAGAGGAAAGAAAGAAACACCTCATTTTCTGAAATTATTAACACTCTATAAATGTTGTTGAAAGGCTGCGTTTGCTGACACCCAGGCAGCTTCGTTGGCGGGACTATCAGATTGACGGGTCGACCCTGATTGTTATTGGTGAAAGGTGCTGTCAGTCATGAAAAGTTTCCTGCACGCATACCCAATAAACGGTTAGAGAGGGTGGGTCGGGAAGGGGCGGATTTTTTCCCCCCACCGCAGCACTATCGCGAGATTACAACCAGGAAGACGAGAAGCAAGATGGCGGCGTCTAGTGTCAATCCTTTCCTCAGCGACTCGGATGAGGAGTCCGAGAGAAAATCGCGGAGAGGCAAAGAGGTCGGCGCGCCGGGTCTACCGTTCTCCGCCGCACACGTCCCCACGCTGCCCCTGTCACCTCAGCAGGAAGCGGGTTTCGGTTACAGCGGTGGCGGGGTCAGGGAGGCGGCGGTCGGACTGCCGCTGGGGGCAGAGCCGCCTCGCGTTCCCCTGGATACCATCGCGGCCCAGCTGCTGCGAGACCAGTACATTCTCACCGCCTTGGAGTTCCACACCGAGCTGCAGGAGGCAGGCAGGGAGCTGCCCCGGCTCCGCGATTACTTCTCCAATCCCGGCAATTTCGAGAGGCACACGTCCACTCCCCCCAAGGACCTGGCTCCTGCGCCCGGGCAACTCAGTGAGTGGTAGAGGCAGCACCTGGGAACACAGAGGGTGGGGATCGGGGGCTGAGCAGGGAATTGGAGATACTGTCTGAAGTAAAAACGGAATGTCATTGAAACCTGAGGCAATAATGAGACTAGGGGAGCGGGACTGGTGGGAGAGGCAGAATGACAAGTGTGGTGTGAAAGCAGAATTAATGTTTCGGGTCCGGTGACCCTTCTTCAGCACTTTTGCTCTTAAGAAAGGGTCACCGATGCCGAAACGTTAATTCTGCTTTGACTCTCACAGATACTACTAGACCTGCTAATTTGAGTTTTTCCGCAATTTGTTTGTTTTTGTTTTTGTTTTTGTTTTTGTTTTTGTTTTTGACAAGTACGGGATTACATTGTAAACGGCCAGAGTTGAGTTTGAAGACGATATGCGCTTGAAGGAACGGGACGTATAAAACTTAAAACTCATTAAAATGACCGTTGTGATGGGCATAACAGCGAAGTACGGACGGATAGAACTGAAGCTCAGACTAAAGGGAAATTCTGTACGAGCGTAGTTGTACTGCTTGTCGGTAACTTAAAATAGTTAGAAATCTTATAAGGATCATTTATGGTATCAATTTTGTTTTCGTCTTGGCCTTACAAGAATAATATTGAATGTTCGCAGGAGCAGGTATACTGTGAGCTATGATTCACTGGGTGTTTATATGCTATGTGGTTCATACCTAATAGTAATACTCGCTGGAGGCAACATATTTTGTTTTGATTTGTATTAATTTCCTGTTTGCGAACTGCGTCTATGAATGCCACCCAATGTACCATATACCGTGTGATCACAAGGCAAATTGGGGGAAAGACCGTTTAGGCTATTCGATTTCATTCTTCCGGACCTGCTGTTTTGCATTACAGCATCTAATTCTAACTTCAGCCACTTAGTTGCTTTAGCTTTAGTTAGTGTTTTATTAACAGATTGTTTAAAGAAGTCGTTGACCATGGGTTATGTCTATTTTATAATCCTATTATTTCTTTTTAAAAGAAAGCTATTTCTTCATTTTCTTTTATTTCTCATCTACATGCTGTCTGTCTGTGCATCAGAAATCTGTTTCCTCAGGGATGCTGCTATCACCAGCTGTACTACTTTAATTCCTTCACTCTCTAAATGATCAGACTACTTGTCTGACATACAGAATTGGACAAACAGAGAATTCCTTCAGTTAAATATTAAGAGCGCTGCTATCATTAGTCTCGGTCCCACCCCCAATCTCCATTCCTTTGCTCTGAAATTCCCCCCTCATGGCAACTGTCTGAGACTTGACCAGACCCACATTTTACCCAGCTGTGACTTCCAACTGCACGTTCACATCATCACTTAGACCATCTGTTTCCACCCTGCTAACAATCCTCAACTCAGTCCCATCCTTGTCTTATTCACTATTGAAATCTTCATCTAGACCTCTAGACTTGATTCTTGATACTTGCTCCAAGCAAGTCTCCATTCTAGTGCCCATAAACTGTTGGCTCTATTGAAGTCCCATTTACCTGGTACTGTGTTCACTGACCTACACTGACTCCAAATAAAGAGAGCCTCTCTTTTAAAATTGTCATCTTTGTTTTCAAATTCGTCTATGCTTCAACTTTCCTCATCTGTAATCTCCAATCACAGAACTTGTGAATCATTGTTTCTGGTTCAGCTGGCTGGGCCCTGTGTTTCGGAACTCTTTGCACCAGCCTCTTCTTTTCGGCATCTTGAAACTTAATTATTTTGTGTAATAACTTTGGTCAACTGCCTTACTATCTTTGTGGTTTAGTTTACAATAATGTGAAGAAAATTTTATTATAAGTGCTGTAAGATGATGTTGCAGCAGCTACACCTGGCCCACTTTAAATTTCTTCCCTTACTATTTGTATTAGCAATCTGTTGTCAGCGTTGATGGTACATATCGTACATGTTAGCGGATGAAACAAGGGCAGTGTGAAAAATTGCATCTGCCAAGTTGATTTTGAGGAGTGCTTATTTCTCCATTATTGTGAAAGCCTTTGCTTTGGACTTAAATGGAGAGAAGAGAATAGAATAGACTGTTTCTGCATGTTTGCTTGAAAATTTGTGCTCCATTGAATAGCAGATCAGTTTCACTTTTTATCTGAATATAAGGGGGTCTGACATTGGATGTTGTTTTAGTATCAGGTGATAGGACAGGATGTTTTTGAAAATCTTTGGCTAAAGTACAGTTATAAAGTGTCCTTTGCAGAACCAGGATCCTGGCTCATTGGTGATAGCATGGGAGTTTGACTGAAAATTGGCAAGATAATCTTTAATGACTCCCTTCTTTTTCCATTTTATGTATCTTGAAAGATTTTTCAAAAAGCTTGGTATAATTTCACAGCTTCAATACTTAGTTTTTAAAAATAATTATCCAACCTGATAAGCCCTTGACTGAAAAGTTCCCAAATCTCATTATAAGCTAATTTTTAAAAAAAATCTGTCTACTGGGTAACCTTTTTGAATACCTATTTAAGCATGGATGATGCCTCCTATTCTGCTTAGAGATGTAACTGCAGCTGAGAGAGCTGCTAATAATATACCCTTAACACATAGGTTTGCAAGAAATAGCTTTTGTTCTTTACAATGACTTTAAGGTTTCAGCCTCAGCTCTGTAGTGGTATTCACCTCTAAGTCAAAGTAGTGGATTTGAACGCCCGTGCCAGAAACACGACTGCATCATTTAGTGGCCACTGTAGGGCAGCATTGATGGAGTACTGCGCTGTCTGGGGATGTTGTCTTTCAAATGTAATGTTAAATTGTGCCTCCTGATGTTAGATGTCAGTGATTAGATATTTGAGAGAGAACAGGGGATTTCTCTGGATGTCATAGATGACATTTACCCCTCAACCAGCACCACAAAAGAATAGATTGTCTAAATATTGCTGCTGGTAGGAACTAGTGCCCAAATCACCTAACAGTAATAGCTACTTTTTTTTTATGTAAAAGCCTGTGAAACATTTTGGGAAATGTAAGAATGCTTTATAAATGCAATTTCTTTCTTGTCTCTCTCGCAAACAGACAAGGTTAATCTGACAATGATCAGGGCAATGAATGAGAACCATACAGGTAATTTCCCTGGATTCTAACTTCAAACAATTTTAAGCACATATTTTAAAAGCAAAATGAAGAATGCATTTTCATGCAGTGATACCATTTTCAAAGCACTTTTCGCTTCACACTGCAGCTGTAGTGCAAATGCTGAACTTCTACTGATTCTGGAATGAAGTAGAGGAGAGTGTTCAAGCCTTCACACTTTGCTTTGTGTTTAGCATACAGGCTAGATAGTCATGCTTCATGCTGAATCTCTGGGTTGTGAATGCATAATAATGCCTATGCAGTAAAAGTATGGTTTAAATTGGCAGTTTGCAGCAAGTATTGATTTCTGTGGCAAAACCAGAAAGTGGAGAAACTCGACAGGTGAGGAGAAAAAGAGAGTTAACGTTCCATTGTCACTGGGCCTCAAAAGTTAACTCTCTCCACAGATGCTGTCAGACTTGCTGAGTTTCTCCAGCAATTTCTGATTTTGATTCCGACCTCCAGCATCCGTAATGCATTGTTTTATTTTGTTGACTTCTGCGGAGTTTTAATAAGCAGCTATATCTTAAATCACCATGTTGCTAAAGTTGCAGTTGAGTTTTACAAGGAGTGTTACAGAATCATAGAATTTTACACTACAGAAGAAGGCCATTCAGCCCATCATATCTGTACAGCTCTAGAAAGATCTACCCAGTTAGCCCTACTTCCAGCTTTATCTCCGTAGCCCTCTAAATTATCACTTTCAAATATATGTTCAGCTCTTTATTGAAACCACCTGTGGAATCCACTCTCCCAGGCAGCACATTCCAAATCCTAACAACTGAGTAAAGAAGTTTCTCCTCATCTCACCCCTAGCTCTCTCACTGACAATCTTGAAATTGTGCCCCTAGTTAGTGACACATTAACTAGTGGAAACAGAATATCCTTATTTATGCTGTCAAAATTGTTTACTATTTTGAACACCTGAATAAAGTCACTGCTTGATCTTCTCTGCTCCAAGGACAATAAACCCAATTTCTCTAATATTTCCTTGTATCTAAAATCCCTCATTCCTGGAATCATTCTAGTAAACCTCTTTTTGCACTCACTCCAGTGCTTCACAAAGAATTGTATAGCTTTATAGCATGGAAATAGACACTTCAGTCCAACTTGTCCATGCTGACCTGATATCCTAAATTAATCTAGCCCCATTTGTCAGCACTCGGCCCATATCCCTCTAAAGCTTTCCTATCCATATATCCATCCAGGTACCTTTTTAAATGTTGTAATTGTACCAGCCTCCACCACTTATTCAGGCAGTTCATTCACACACGCGTCAACCTCTATGTGGAAAAAGCCACCCCTGAGGTCCCTTTTAAATCTGTCCCCCTCACCTTAAACCTATGCCCTCTAGTTTTGGACTCTGCTACCCTGGGGAAAAGACCTTGGCTATTCACCCTATCTATGCCCCTCATGATTTTATAAACTTCTATAAGTTTATAATTCCTCAGCCTCCGATGCTCAAGGGAAAGTAGTCCCAGCCTATTCAGTCTCTACCTATAGCTCAAATCCTCTAATCCTGGCAACATCCTTGTAAATCTATTCTGAATCCTTTGAAATTTCACAACATCTTTCCTATGGTGGGGAGACCAGGATTGAATGTAGCATTCCAAAAGTAGCCTAATCAATGTCCTGTACAGCTGCAACGTGACCTCGCAACTCCTATACTCAATGCACTGACCAATAAAGGCCTTCTTTACTATCCTGTCTACTTGCGAATCTACTTTCAAGGAACTTTGCTTAAATAAGGTGCCCAGTTCTGAACACGCAACTCGATATGTGGTCTGATCATTGAATGGAAATAGGTGAATTAAAAATCAATATTTCATACAAAGCATCTCCAAATGTCCCTACTCTTCCCAAAACAACTAAATAGCTGTTTCAGATGGAGATCTTTTATCGGTGCAAGAATGTAACATTCTGTTGCAGATCTGCCTTCCAAAGAACTCCTGATTAGGGAGAAAAAAATTGCCTGGCTAATGAACTGTTCTCCACCCCTACGATGTGACTAAGGCTCGGCATTATTGCTCAGTTTCTCATGCTGGTGTTCAAACAAGAGTCAAATGCTAAACTAACAGGCAATGAAGTTTTTTGAGTAGTTGATAAGAGTTAAGATTAATGAAAGATTGGTGGCATACTTGTAAAATAAGGAAATTTACCGAATTAAAACTGTTAGCTTGAAACTGGAATATTCTGCATGTTTATTTAAGTTTAATATGTGGACATTCCATTAATTATTTTTCCTCCAGCATGTGTTGTATATTTTTAAAGATTCCATAAAATACATTTGGAGAAATTAAATGTTTTCACCTGAAGACACCAGAGTCTTTTAGAAGTACTGTGCCTATTTCTTGCTTATTCTGGATGGCCATTAACAAAGGACTGAATCAAATCTCCAAATTTTTCCTGTAGTTTAAGATAAATATTAGTATAGTGGAAGGTTTTACCATTCTGCTGTCCAAATGAATAGCTGTGTTATTTAGCTGCACCTATTAGTTCTAAACAATTGAATCACGTTGGTCTTTTCAGTTATTGTAGTATTTTTGTTCCTGTCACCGTCGTTTTAAACATTCCTCTAAAGGCAGCAATACACATTTGGTTGTTTTCAGTTGACAGTGGCAATACACCTGTGGCATGTTGTCTATGATTAATTAGTTTGCATCCTGGTTCTAAAGTTGAGCAGTCAGCAAGGGGAAGCATCATAAATGTTGTTGTTTCTATCAGCAGCTGTAAAATTGTGAAGAGGGGCAAGTACCCTATAACGTGTTGGATTGTAACAAAAACTCAACTGACTCACCAATGGAAGAAAAGGAAAAATTGCGGGTGTAGTGGACAGGGAAGAAAGTTATCTCCAAGTACATCGGGGCTCGATCAGAATGGGCCAATGGGCTGAGGAGTGGCTGTTGGAGTTAAGTTAGATAAATGTGAATTATTGCATTTTGGTGAGGCAAACTAGGGCAGGATTTATACGCTTAATGATGAGGTCCTGGGGAAATGTTGCTGAGCCAGGAGATCTAGGAGTGCAGATGCATTGTTCCTTGAAAGTAGAGTTGCAGGTAGATGGTGGTGAAGGCGGCATTTGGCACACTTGCCTTCATTAGTTAGTGCGTTGAGTATAGGAGTTGAAACATCATGTTGCGACTGTATAGAACACTGATTACTGTGTTCAATTCTTGTCTCCCTAAATAGAAAAGATGTTGTTCAACTTGAAAGAATTCAGAAAAGATTACAAGGATGTTGCCAGGATTGGAGGGTTTGAGCTATAGGGAGAGGCTGAATAGATTAGGGCTTTTTAAGCTGGAGTGTCGGAGGCCAAGGGGTGACTGTCTAGAGGTTTATAAAATCATGAGGGGCATGGATAGGGTGAATAGCCAAGGTCTTTTTCCCAGGGTACGGGAATCCTAAACTTGAGGGCATAAGTTTAAGGTAAGATCTGAACCTGAATTGTTCAATTTATTAGTTTCACTTATTATTAGTTTGGAGTCGCGTATAGGCTGGACTGGATAAAGTTAGTACACTTCCTTTCCTAAGGAGCATTAGTAAACCTGATGGCTTTTTACACCAACGTTACTAATCCTGACTTTATATTCCAGGTTTATTAATTGAATTTACATTCCATCAGTTGCCATAGTGGGATTTGAGCTTTCATACCAATGAATGCAAAATTAAGGATAATTCTGTGCTGCCAACCTTTTGGATTGGATTCAAGTTTCTTTAACAAAAGACGCTTGGAGCCTTTCACTCCCTCTGACTGGGTAGATTTAAGCATAGGCCTGGAAATATTGAATACAATGCACTACCTTCTGATGGGCAATAAATGCTCACCCAGCCAGTGGCAACCAAATCCATGAATGGATTTTTATGAAACATCAATTTTTTAAAAAAAAAAAGAGCTATCCCTTCCTTTGCTGCAATTGAACATGTACTAATGTTGAAATCAGCCTTCAGTTTTCCCCCATTTTAGACTTCACTCCCTGTAAGGAGTGTCATGGGAAATTGACTAATATTTTACAAATTAGACCCATGTGTCTGGAATTCTGCAAATAATACATGACTGTTCATTTCCTCCTTGGAATAATATTTATTATTGTAATTAAGACAATTCAAAAGGTTCTGCAGTCTCACTAAATTTTGAGTAATTACAGTTCTAAGTTTTGTGCCAAAAACGGAATCAAGTCCTCGCTTCCTGAAGTTGATAACCGTTTTTTTGCTGTGCATGTAAAGTGTTTAGACTTTTAAAGCCTGAAAATAGTTGCCAAGAGAATGGAGATTTGCTTACCCTCTAGTGTATTGTTGCAGCCTGGAGCACAATGTGTTGCTTCTGCTTCCCGGTTACAGACCAGTAATGTTGTATAACCACAGTCTTGGTGTAAATTACAAAATCACAGATTCACTTGGAGAATTCAACAAAATATTAAGGTTAAATTTTAACACCCATTCCTTTTTCTTGATAGATCGAGCTGGCAGTATAAGCACCTTAGATTCTTTGGATTTTGCTCGGTATTCTGATGATGGTAATCGGGAGACTGATGAACGGGTGGCAGGTAAGCATTATCTTTCAAGGCATAAACAAATGCAAGATTCTTCTGATGTTGTACTTTTTCAGAATCTTTGTAAATTTGGCAACCTTATGATTAAATCCTATTAAGGCTGGACAAATCCCTTATTTTTGCAAATTTTACCCTGAAATTTGGTGAAGGGATTTCTATTTGATTACAAGTTAAATTGTGTCATAAGTGCTGTCCCAACCCCATTATTGTATTTCCCCCCTTTTCAATGTTATAGAAAGAATTGCTAATTCACAAATGTTATGAATATTTCCTTTTCAGACTTTAATTGCAATGTAGAAATAAAAATCAGCAGTCAGTAGAGTTTGGAGCTAAAAGTAAACCACATGAGATGATGGCCTGACTAGGAAAGTCTTGAATCTTAGTTTCAACTTGGAGTTTGCTATTGCTCAGTCGTTAACTGACAAGGCCAGGTTTGAGGGAGGAGAACTGGCTGACCAATCCTTTAGGTCTCCAGCCTTGTTTCTTTTGGTTGAACAAAGAACATTTGTGTGAATAGAAAAAGGTATGAAATTGCCAAAGAGAAAAATTTAGTACATCTGCATACAGCTCATGAAAACGTATCCATTTGTTACAGGATATACGGGGAGGTATTACTGGTAGACTGTTAATCCAGAGACCTAGGTAACGTTCTGGGCACCTGGGTTCAAATCCTGCCACGGCAGATGGTGGAATTTGAATTCGACAAGTACCTGGAATTAAACATCTAATGATGACCATGAAACCATTGTCAATTGCTGGAAAAACCCATCTGGTTCACTAGTGGCCTTTAGAGAAGGACACTGCCATCCTTACCCGGTCTGGGCAGTTAAGGATGAGCAATAAATGCTGGCCTAGCCAACGACGCCCTCATCCCATGAATGAATGAAGAAAACAAAAATTTGAGTAAAGGTGTAGTCTAAATATAATTTAAATTTTGGAGATATGGTGCTGCCAAGTAATAAGCACATGGCCTGGAAAATAAACCATGACAATTATAACACCCATAGGAAGGAATACTTGGAAAAATTGAACATCAGAATTGTATTCAGCACTGAAAAGATGAAGCACATTTGCGTGTTCTAGAATATAGTACATTCAACTAATATATTGGACATTAGCATTCAGTGTTCAAGTGAAGCTCATGTCCAATTTAGCTTGTGTGGATATAAATGGGAAAAATGGGACACTATGCCACAAGACCTTCTGGATGACAAGATTGTCTACTAGTTAATCATTTATAACTAATTATATTTCCAGACTGCGCACAGTGCTTAGGATTTAATGACTATCCCAATGATAATATTGCATGGTAGACCAGCCCGAAAGGGCTGACTGGCCTACACGTATTCTTATTTTCTATGTTTCTATAAACTGTCTACTTTTTAATGATTTGGCAAGATTGCTGAATTGTGCAATTTGTAAATTGTTAACTGTAACCAATTCTTTCTATTCCTTTGAGATATCAAGTGCTATAACATTTAATGACAGTGCAGCTGGGGTTCAACTAGTGTGAGATTAGTTTCTGACAACAGCATAACGAATTTGATGTTTTTAATTCCAGGATATCTTAAATAAGGATTTGTCCAGCCAAGTATTGTGTATTTTGTTTCCAAACAGGGTAGCAGTATCTTGGTTTGGAACTTAAGGCAAACTTCATTTTGGGGCATAAACATTTCATATTTCTCCTTAACGCCTAGCAGAAACTTATTCTTGTTGTTCAAGAAATCAAATTTAACCTTTCAAGCGCAGAATATTTAAAGAGACACTACGTTTACTTTGAAGTGTTGCACTCTGAAACAGGTGTGGAATTGAATTGCCAGCTGACAGGGCACACTCACTGACTTCTATGGCTCAAGGCCTTCTTGATAAGTTGTGAGCAAAGTGTGTCATTGCTGAATCTGAACAACTGACAGCTGCTATGCTCCACTTCATTTTTTTTCGCACCAAAGTTAAAGCCATTACTTTGCATCAAGTTACAGAAAGCTCAATAATCTTTGTCACATAAATATTATCACCTTTAGGCAAAAGGGTGCAATGGTTCTGAAGAGGAATTTCAATCTATTATTTGATTTCATTATTTATGTTAGGACTCTAAGCTCATGGAAGTTCGGTCAGTAAGTCTAACTGAAGACATTTTCAAAACTCCAAATATGTCCTGCAAAATCGCTGCAACTGCAGAGAAAGCTCACCTTTT